ACATCACCATAGTGTGATTATTATTTTTAAAGATCACTGTCTTTATTTTGGTAAACTTTTCTGTTCTAATAATCAAGTCAGTAATGCCAATTGAGTGTGTCTGGCAATGATTTACTTAAGGTAGCATTCATAACACACAGTAGCTGCATTATAGAGGAAAAATAAATCTATTCATGTTACATTTCCTACCTTGAAAAAAATATTAAATTGCAGATCCAGAGCCATAACACAATGTAAACCCCCCCCCCCATACATACAGAAAGAGTATTCATGGTTTAAAAATTATTGTTTAATACTTCACATTCCCTAAACTGGAATTGATCATACAGTTTTTAAATATGACCAGATCTGGTTCACTGAGCACTGATAATTTTTCAGTAAGTAAATGTTCTCTCAGCTTTCTTTGAAATAAAATTCTACTCAATTGCATACTGAGTTGTAATTTTAACAATAAGTTGTATCTTGCATTGTTTTTTTTTTGAGCAAGTAATAATTTGAAATGTGCTGTTTCCTATTTATATTTCTTATTCCTTGCTCTTCAGTCTACTTTTGGAACTTGTTTTATAGAACTGATGTAGACATAGACCTTATCATCACTGCATGGAAAATTAATTTAAATGACATATTGTTGCAGTTTCTATGACAACCATATCATGATGCTGATGCTCTCAACATTTATAAAGTACAATTTCAAGTATACTAATACCAGTGAACAGGGTTGACATTTATTTACTTAATGCTCAATTTAAAACTATACTTTCTCTATTTTGTCAAAAGGCAAATTACAAGAGAATATACTTTAGCAGTTTTGCAACTGAATTCTTATTTTTATGTAAACCTTTTTTGTTTTAACTCTGCTACATATTATAGTCAAAAACATTATTCCATCAAAATAAGGACAAACTATATACCAGCTATTAAAAAAATTTGCAATGTAATATTCCAAAACAACTGTCACAATTTACTACATACAACATTGCTCTATTTTGGAGTAAATAAAGCACATTTAGTCTTATCTGTGCAGTCATAGGTCCCAGTCCTGCAAATACTTATGCGTGTGAGTAGCTTTGCTTCACTGGGGGAAGGCACATGTAGGTTAAGTTACTTGTATACATGTCTGCAGAATCTGGCCCATAATGACAGAATAATAAACAAGCCTTTAAAAAGATGTCTACATTAAGTCCTTTATTCTATTATTTAAATGTTAAGAGGTTGACTTTTTCTAAATTGCATGATTTTTGCATATTAAATACACATCTTCAGTATGGTCATGTGGTTGTATTAATCTGGAGCCTTTTTGAATGTCACTTGAGTAGAAAGGGCTTGACTATGCACTCTGTTATTCAAGCAATATTCACATTGAAGTCAGTGGATGTTTTACTTGAATCAGAAGTGTAGTACCAATTTAAGATAGCTTGTTTCAAGTTAGTTTATAGCTATAGGTTGTAAAGATTTACACAGGTTTTGCTGTCATAACACAATTTTATGGATTCCAACTTGCACTGGTAATAAACAAAGTGTGCTTTATATTTCTAATGCATATTACTTGTGCATGTGACTTGCCAATCATTGACACAGATAAGAAATAAAACACTATGAGCCAAATCCTGCAGTGCTTACTCTCAACAAAAGTCCTAAAGCAGTCAATATGAGGTTGAATTGAGTAAGGACTGCAGGATCAGGCCCTGACTTGGTACTAGCCAATAAGAAAAGTTATCAATAATTGAATGTTAAAATAGATTGAAATTGTGTCACATTTCAGTCTAAGATTATCCAGTACTTTCAGCAGTTTCTACCTAATGTTTCTGGTTTAGAAAATTACAAAATTTAGCCACTTATCAATAGACAGACCCAATTTTATTTATCTCAACAAGTTCCAGCAACAGACTGTGGTAAAAAAAAAAATAATAATGTTCTTAGAAGTGAAGAAGGAAAGGAAACAGCCTTGCAATATTCACTGATAAATCTCATGCAAAACTCATCTGCTTAGTAAAACTTAATGTCTTGTTTCTGCCCCCCCACTTCATGATCTTTTTTGTATATCTGTTCAACTACTTCAATATTTCTAACCCTGCTAATAAAAAATACCCTTCCTAAGTACACAGAGCCTGAACCATCAGTTCTTAACTCAGACTAAACTTCCACTGAAATAATTAACAATGACATGGGCCTAACAGGATCAGGCCCATACTGTAGCAAATCCACAAGTGCATCTTGAAATCAATGTAATATGTAAGTGCAAAGTGTTGTTATGAATAGTGTGGGATACAGAACCATTGTCCTATACCTGACAATCACTTTTCCTCCTATCATTTGGCATACATATGGGACTTAGTGGCAGTGCCTGTATTTACAATGCGGGCATGCCCTCAGTTCAAAGATAGCTGTGTGTATTTGTTCTCTCATTTGAGCTTCTTTCTCTCTTTATATAACCAATTGTTCATGCTTTTGTGATTATATCAGTCTCTTTAAAACATGTTTTGTTCTCTTTTGATCCACGAAACAAACAAACACCAATGGGGTAAAGCATAGGTGTATCTTATAGACAGCATATAAGTGCTCTACTACGTGCTTCATATTGCATCCTAATGTGCAATGTTAGATTAGGGCATTGCCACTAAAAAATAAGGAACTCTGTGGACTGATAAACACTTGGAATTTTCATAGTGGATCAGAATAGCCCTATTTAACAAAGGCTTTTTAGTAATTGGGGGTTTGGGGAAAAAATATTCAGCAACAGTCATATTTACACCAGTGCTCTACACTTAGCTCACTGGGCTATAATATGAAATATGGGGACAGTGGGTTACTCAGTACCTGCTAAAGGGTGCTTTAATCCTGTCTTCCCTCCCAACCCTTTCAGTGTTTGTGTGTGTTTAAATGAGGTAGTATTTCTTTTTGCCTTTCTTTATTTATTAAATAATATAATTTTAACAGTCAGCATAAGTACCACAGCACTATCTTTAAAGGTGGGAATATCATATAGTAGAACAGGCCACACAGGTGTGTGCTGCAGGAGCATATGACAAAATATGGTTGTAATGATGGTTGTGAGTCTCTAACACATGGCCTTTAAAGTCTACTGGAATATAAATGTTAAATATTTTATCTCAAGGTACATTTTTGTATCTGTTAAGGTATTTTACCCATAGTTTCAGAGGGGTATACAAATGGAAGTTACAAATTAGTTTTTACCAAGAAGAAGGGCTCAGACAAATCTAGTAGCTGAACTACTCAGAGTTGGGAGTATACAGCTTCTTTTTAGCTAATATTTTTGCTTCTTCAGCAATCACATTAGTTAGTCCCTCTTTTTCTGTACCTGTTATGTATCAGGAATTCATTGGTAGTGTTGACTCTAGTCACTCTAATTAAATGAAGTTTGAATTCTTCTTTCAATTAGCCCTGAGTTTCTTACCACCCTTCTCAAGATTCATTTGCAAGAGACACTATTGCACTAGTCCAGACTGCAATTAAAAGTTTGATGACTGTACATTTGCCAGGGAAGTTACTGCTCTTCCAGTTGAGAGTGACTCGATACCATGAATGCTTTGCTGTGGTTTAGAAAGGACATCAGTCCCCAAAAGGAGACCACCAGCTATAGTAGGTCTCAGCTTCTAAAAGTCACCGTGTATTTTTTTTTCTTCTTCTCGATGTAAACTTAGTGAAAGCAGGGCTGGCAGTTTACACTACGCCATAACGTATTTCCATAGCTTCCAGGTAGAACAAGACCTGTTCCATGACGTTGTTTTGTTGTGATAACTTTCTTATGTCTGGCCAGTTGAAAATAGGCAAACCCAGTGTGGTAATTATTGCCCTCGACCTAAGCCAAGTCTCGACCCTACGAGCTGTTTATAGGTCACAGCAACGTGTTTCCATAATTCCTCTTTCATTCAAACCATTTAGCAAAGATTATAAACCAAACTCAGCCCCGCCTCCAAATCGAGAGACAAACTGAAAGGCAAAACACTCCAGGGAAACCTGGGCAGTGCACTTGCCCTGCGTTTGCCCAGAGTCTGGGGATCTAGTGGGGAAGTCAGTCAGCGATGCTCTGAGGCACGTGCTCTGAGGATGTGAAGAGAAACTTCCTTGAGTGAGTGGCGCTGTATAACTCCCCCCCGCCCCCGTCCCCCACGTTACTTTGTAAAGATGGGTAAAGAGATGTTCTGCCTATCAGGCGCTGGTTTCTGCGATGGAAACCACCGTTGATGTGGTCCACAGTACAAAAGGTGCAGAAGCGAAGCAGGATTTGGGAGCAGATGGTTGGGAAGCGAAGTCGTGGATGCGTTTCAGTACTTCTGTCCCCACTTCACCTCCTCACTTTATATAAATCTCTTTGCATATGTTTTCCCGAGCCCATCAATGTGGCTGAAAGTGAGGGAAGATCCTGCTTGATCCTCCCCTTATCCCAAATTCATTAGCAGAGCCGTTAGAACTGGGGTTGCCAAGACGAGATTCTTCGATGACTTTCCCGATGCTACTGACAGTGTTTGTTTTGCTTTGCAAAGTGCTAATCCGAAAGCTCCTTGGCAGGCTTTTCCTTGGCTGCCTTATTTGCGCTGACCTCAGGGTGGCGTTTTAAGCACATAAACAAAGCCCAGGCAAGCAGAGAGACTGGCAAGTGTGGTTACCTTTATCGGAATAACAGTTCCATTAATGTTTTGGATAAATCAAACCTGCCTATTAAAAACGGTATAAAGTATAAAAGCTGCAAGTCTTCCGTAGAAATGGAAAGGATTTTAATTCAGCCGGCTCTGGGCACTTCTGAAAGTTCAGAACTAGGTGCGAGGTCCGTTTATCGATCTTAATCTCACCTGTTTTTACAGGAGTAGTTTACAAAGAACGTGTCGAGCAACAGATCAAGATTTTAAAACTCTAACTAGATGTTAGCAGTAATGATGGGGGGGGGGGGACATCCCTAAATTGCTGTCCTGTTTACACCGGAACGTGTCTCTGGACCTGAATTGCATGGAGAGAATAAACACAATATAGAGTCATCTTACCTCCGAGACAAAAGGGCAACTTTAGAGGAGGAATAGGGGAACAAATGTAGCTATCCTCCGTCCCATCCTAGGTCGGTCTGTCGCAGGGCTTTCTTACCAGCACTGCCTTCTTCTGACTAACTTGGATCACATCTCGAGCGTGTTTTCCCTCCCTCCCTGTCAGACATTCCTTAAACTCAGCCCAGGACAAATCCAGAAGTCAGTCACAGCGTTTCTAGTCAATCGCTGTTGGTGCAAATCCCTTACAGCTTCTTTTAGCCCGAGCGTGGAACACACTGCCGATCAGAATGACTTTTTGTAAGCCTTTCTCTGAGCTCTAGAAGCAGGTAAGGCTGCCAGTCACTGCAAATGATCCATGTTGCATTTGTGGAGCGCAGCAGCAGCCGGTGAAAATGGGAGTGTGATCCGCTGTTCACTAGGGGGAATGGACCTGGAGGGGATCCACTGCAGCACTTTACTCCATTGCATTGTATTCTCACTGATCACGCTTTCTGCTTTTCTGACCCTCACTCCAAGCATTTTCAAACCCATCCGGAATAAGTTCAGATCCTCCCCCTTAGTTTACATTGGAGATGTCAAAGGATTAAGTAAATGCAACTTTATTTGACCGTGGAGTTTACAGACCCTGGGATCCCTCCGCTCTTTGGCCTGATTCTAATTCCATAGCGGTAATTACCCTTCGTTTCTTTAAGTGCAATAGATTTATTGCCTTAGAGACTATGCACAGTTTGATTGAATTATTCATTTTTTTTCTTTGGTGTAGACTGCATCTGGGGACTCTGATGTGACGTGTAGATTTTTTTTTTCAGGAACAAAGGGAATGTGGAAATGAAAGAGAGAGGGAGAGAGAGGCTGGCAGATGTGATGAGATGCGGTGAAGGTGTATCCAGCTTGGCACTCCCACTCCTCTCCTCTCCTCTCATTGCAGCCCTGGGTGACTCTCAGGCTAACACAAACAGCTTTTCTTCCGCAGCCTGCCCTCTGTCACTGTAAGTACAACAGCCTTCTCTTATCAGCATGCAAATTCCAGCCACTCACTACCTTAGCCTAGTGTTTGCACTTTAGATTTACAGAGGAGACCTTTAAAATGAACTTTCCGAGACAGGAAGGGGTTTCATGTCAAACTTGCTTTTATTTTCTTTGTAAAAGTTTATGTGGTTTGCCGGTTTTGGGGGTTGTTGTTACTGCGGCTTCTTTGCTTCTCTGTCAGGATGATGCACAGTTTCAAATGAAATTAAAATGTTCCTTTGATCTGCTTCCGCCAAAAGGACAATACATTGTTAGCAAATGACGCCTTAAGGAATTCAGAGTTTTGTTTTCAATTGGGTCCTTGCTAAAATGTAATCGCCCCCCCCCCCGTTTTTTTAAGAATATCACCCAAGGGTGCTGTTATTGGGGAACTCAAATCATCTGATGGGTTTGCCTATACAGAAACATGTAGTAATTTTGGTATCAGTTTAACAAAACTTTTCTCCCTGTCGGATAAGTTTTTAACTCCTTTTCCTTTACCTCTTTCTGACACTTAAAGTTTGAACACTTTGAATCCTTTTTTTTTTTTTACAACCTATAAAAAGTCGTCCTTGTCGGAGTGTGTCACCAGTGAATTTATAAGCATGCCTACTAATTGTCCGGCATTAATAAGAGGGCTTTTATTGCTTGGTGAATGCCTTCTAATATAGAATTGCTTACCCTTTGTATACAAACTTTAGACTATACCAAGAACTCTATAAGTCCTAGGTTTGCTCATCTTCTCTAGGAGGTGGCACAACAACACAGAGACACAGGTTGCTTTGCATGTTGGACATTGCTTTCCATGCCTGTATTAGATGAGTGGCACAGCACAAAATGCAGTGACAGCTGTGAACAGGTAAGTGCTCCAACGTAGCTGAGTGCCTCTAATTCCTTCACTGTAGAAGCGAGAAAGGAACCACAGCACGAGATGTTCAGCATCCCTCTTCAACATCTGGCTGCGCTGCTGTGGCTAGCCTTTAGGAGTGAGAGGCAACCAGAGTAATTTAACGAGCGGTAAACTTTTGTTAATACTAAAAATAAAGGATGTTTTCTCTCTTCCACTGCATATCTAAACAGCATATGATCACTTACTCAGCATTCAGAGAGATAAATACACAATTGTTATCCGCAGAGCACAACCCTCCCATATTTACATACAATGCACAATGAGACTTTTTAATGCGGTCCATCTTTTACCTCTGTGTATATTTACACCTGTAGCTTAATTTAAAGGAAGCAACAAGGTTTATTGCCCAAGTTATTTATTTGAACGCAACCCATCTGTGCCGTGCATTTCTGCCCCGACTTCATTTCATTCTTTGCACGATAGTTTCGGTGGTGAAGAGATGCTCTTCAGATTAAGGGCTAGTTGGGCTTTGAAACTTCCTAAATTGTTCTGGCTTTTTAATTGTTTGATGTTCATTAGCACCTAACACTTGATAGTTTCAGTTGTTCGAAAGAGATGATATAACTGCCAATGTTTAAAAAAGAGGAAAAACTTTCAGCAGCAAATTGATGGGACAGTAGATACGCATCAGAATCTTTTCTTTGTACATTGACTAGATCTTTTTTCTTACAAATCTCAATTTCTTGTGCCAATAGGTTACAAATTATGCAAAAAGTCAAGGTGTCTTCATTTGTGAAATATTTCAATGTATCACTATAAAGTCATTACTGTCAAATCCCGGGCATTATAATTAGTTTAAAAAAAATCTCTATAGTACCTAGAAAGGAGAGTTATTTCCTGTTTCTAAATCTGTGCACAAGGCAGTAAAGGCAGGTGAATGGTTTGAAGTTGCTGAAACCAGGTGAATGTACAGTCACTTAAATACCTTATAAACTACAGTCCCTCTGCCTGACTGTAGATTTTAGCACTTTTATTTAAATGAAAAGAATACATGAGAATGAGACTTAATGTAGCCAGTCAGCTAATTTGAGGATAAAGTATTATGAGAGTCTCTGGATAAATTAAAAGTTCTGTTTGGAGGTGATCTGCTTACAAAATGATATGTTGATTCCCTTTATTTTGTGGAATTGCCCCAAATATTTTTTAAATGCTTGTTATTCCTACAGGTTCTTACTTTAAACTAATTTCTCCAGGATTTGACTAGAAGGGCAATAGCATAAAACACTTTGAATAGCAAGGAAGATGATGCAACATTTATATCTCTTAATAGAGTTTTAAGTTGTAAAACTTGTAAAGAAAAGAAAATAGAACCAGGTCTAATCAATCCTATGTCATCACTCTAATGCTGATTTTCAGCATGTTCCTGGAGAGCAAGGTTTATTTGCAGTAGATGATTGTACTTCTGTTTCTAACCGACTCCGCAGGTTTGGGTGTGAGAGAGAGCATGGAAATTCAGCCTTTCTGCTCGTCTTTCTGGCCTCTAGAACCTATGAAGCCATTTAAAATTAAAAAGTTTCTCTGTTACTAACAGTTCCAGGCGCCTTCTGGAAAATGGGGAAAGGGTTGCCAAAAATATAAAGAAGGATCAACAACTTTTCCCCCTCTCTCTCCCTCTTTCCAGGAGGCTGTTTTCCGCACTCCCAGACTTATAATAGTTTAGCTAAGGTGTGGATCATATCAACAGGGAGAGACGCTAGTTTTACAATTTGGTTTGCCCACCTGATCCTCGGGCCCCCGACAGTTTGTAAAGCCTCTTTCACGTTTGCCTTTTGGAATTTAAAAGTAAACCATTTAGACCTTCTTTCTGATTGTTGCAACACTCCAAGCCACTGGTTGATTTACTCCTGGTCCACTTACAGTTGTATCTTCATCCCCCCAGATTTGCTTTTTCATTAACACTTATGAGGAAGCGCTAGTTCCTAAATCACTGTTCACTTCCTGTCTGTCGCCTTTTTGTAGTTGTACATTTTTTGCCGCAGATAAAGCTCTCGTCATCACAAGCAGAACCAGAACTTCAACCTGAATCTGTTGTTCTGTATCAGATCTATTTCCTCCCAGATCGTGCCTCTCCTTTTGTTTTAATTATGTGCATCTTCTTTATCTTTCAGTTGAATGCATCACTCTATACTTTGCACTCCCCCTTTTTCCTTCTCTCTCTTCCCTTCCCTCCCCCAGCCGTGGGTTTGTCTAGCCTGTATCTGGATTCCCATCTCTAGTGTAATTTATACATTTCACCTGGATTTACCCAGATTTAGCTTTGGGAGAGGGCTCCTACCCACTTGCCAACTGGCAATAAGCGTTTTTGTTTTTTGCTGCTTTTACTTGTATTTGATGTCCCTTACTCTTGACCAGTCCATCCCTTGCCCTCCAGATTTTTCTCCTTGTCTTCTTGAACACGGGTCCTTTCTGACTTTTGTGTGCGCCCTCCTAAACACATCCTTTAAAGTACTTGGGGGAGAGGGTGTCAGTGTGTAACACGATTCTTTTCTCCTTTAGTTTATTCTCTTCTTACTCAATTCTCCCAGGACTCTCCACATCCCCCTCCTGCTTTTCCGGCCCCCCCCCCGGTAACTTTGTTACCTTTCCTCACCACTCAGAGCAATCAGTGGTCATTAGGCGAGAGAGGTTTAAGGTTTCATTTGTCTAATAGCAATGTGAGTGGTGATAGCTTCTCGGGGATGCGGCTGGCAGCCTGGGGTGATTTCACTTTCTGTTTTGTGCTCACTTTCTCTTCGGTTGTTGCGTTTCGCTCGTTCGCTCTCACTGTGTTGTCTCATCTTGCCTCTGCTGTCTGGGAGGGGGAGCCCTGCCTCCTCTTGCCTTCCTCAGATCAATGCCCTGGCCACTCACTTTCTGATGTTGCACGACGGGAAATGCTTTGAATACTTACGACATGGCCGCTCACATTGATTGCCAAGATTGACAGCAGTAACCATCGCCTTCATTTGTTTCAGGAGGAAAAAAATTAATAATAATGAACCTGATTGTAACCAAATCTCCAGGCAGCCCATCAGCAAACTTCTAACGATCCGGATCCTGCACAGCCATGGCCCGGAGAAACACCAGCAGACTTTAGTGCATTTATTTTTATTTTATTTGCTGAATTACTCCCCGTTTATTTCTCTCCTTCCAACACCCCCTTGCCCCCTTTTTAATGAAAATTACTGAAGCGCGTAAAAAAAAAAGGGGGGGCGACTCTCCCAATGCTTTGTGCCACACCGGATTCCGAGGAGGTAACCAGGGGGAAAAAAGCCCTATTGTGTTGTATACCTGTTGTTTACTATGGTGTGTAGTGCAGCCTTGCTTGGTGGTGGTGGTGGTGGTGGTGGTGTTTTAATGGGGTTTCGCTGGATTTATGTCGCTTTGCAGGAGAGAATCAGGGTTCCCTTGCGCTGTCTTTAATGGGTTGTTAGTTGCAATTGTCTAAAGCAGCAGCGTCCGGAGGTAGATGTGTTGGTTAGCTTTTAACATTCTGAATTAACCCCCTCCCCCTGCGCGATTATTTACTTTTATACCACGAGGGTTTTATTTTATTTTAGGAAAAGTACTTACAGTCTCCTCCGTGTGTGAGGTTTCCAAGGCTGTGAAATCTTTCAGGGACCTTAAGGACTCCACTTCCTTGAAATCACAACACTTTCTCATCCTCCCCGAGAGTTGAATCTATTTTAAAATGTAGTGACAGATCAGCGTTGTATTTTAAGATCACCCACGGCAGAGAACACATGGTGCTCGGGAGATAGTTTCTTACGTACAGTAACACAAGAGAGAGAAAGAAACCCTAAATAAATCTTTCAGAGCAGAAAGCTGCTGTCATTACTCCGTAGTGGTCGCGTGGGTTTGTCCTCCGTGGATAGACCCAAAGAAACAGAATGGAAGAGGATGCAAGGACTTTTTATAGCGATTTTAAATTCTCCGTTAAGTTTGAGGTGGGTAATTGCATTGAAGTTTGCCACAAATGTGCTATTCGTGGAGCATATTATACAAAGATATTGGACCAGTGTGGGTGGTAATATTGCGTTTGGCCACAGAGGGGCACTATCCCGAGGATTTGCAGTTCCTGTGGTGGCGTCT